GGGAAGAGGAGGAGGAATCCGCGTCCGGGACCCGCCGTTTGCACCGCCTGACCCCCATCCGTAAGTGGCTCCCTGTCATTCCACGACCCTCATCCCCCCGGGACACACGTGTGTCCCAGCGTGTCCCAGCGTGTCGGGCACTGTCGGGACATGACCGGGCATGCAGCACGGTGGTCACGGGCATCCTTGTCCCGCGGCTTCCTTCGCCCTGGAAGAGGGGAGGAGCCACTTTGGGGCTGTTTTGCTTAAAAACACCAAGAGCGGGGAATTTGGGATGGAAGCTTTTAATCGGCGGCGCGGTGGCGGCTCGGGGGGGCTCGGGATGGGGCTCAGGGTGGTTTGGGGGTGAGAGAAGGGGAGGTGCCATCCCTCGATCCCCAGCTTGAGCCCGAGTTTGGGGGGTTTATCTGAATCTGGGGGGATTTAGGGGAATATTCTGCTCCTGCTGCTTGGGCTGGTGCGGGGACAGCCGGCGAGTGGGGTGGGGGTGCCCCAGTGCAGGGTACCCGCTCTGGCACCAGCAAAACTGAGACCCTCCATCTCGAGGGTCCCTGGAGATGGCGGGTCCTGAGCGATCTGAGGGTAGGGATGAATTCCCAGCACCCCCTGGGGATTTGGGGGATTCTCCGGGAGCGGTGGTTTGGCTGCCTGAGCGGAGCCGGTCACAAGCCTGGGCTGACGGGGGAACTGCGGGCTCTTACATCAGCTGTCCCTTCTGTCCCCGCAGTGCTGCGCTGGCCGGACATCCCGCAGGGACGCGGGGACTCCCAAGGACAGCAGGACCCCCGTGGTCCCTACCGCTACCACCTCCTGCTCTCCCGCGCCGAGGAATTCCAGCGGCAGCTCCGGGTGGTTCAGGCGCAGCTGAAGCTCTTCAAGCAGCCGCTGGCGTCCCCCGAGATGTCCCCGCGCGGCGCCTCGGTGTCCCCACCCCGGGTCACCATCTACTCTCTGCAGGGGGACGGAGAGACCCCCCAGCTCGTGCAGAGCCAAGAGCTGGACCCCGATTCCCGGAGCCTGGATGTGACAGCAGCCATCCAGCCCTGGGTGGCCGGTCCCGAGGCCACGCTGCGCCTGGAGCTGGACTTCACAGCCAACGTCTCGGCCGCCCTGGCCGCCTCAGAGGGGGAGACGCTGGTGCTGGAGGTGGAAACCCGGGAGAACACGGCTCGGGGGGCCAGGAGAGCCCGGGGGCTGGAGGAGGAGTGCGGGAAGAGCGACGGGAAGTGTTGCCTGAAGTCGCTGAAGGTCTCCTTCCAGGACATCGGCTGGTCGGACTGGGTCATCGCCCCCCACAGCTACTACATGAGGTTCTGCGAGGGCTCCTGCCCCCACAACTACAAGCCGGCCAACATGCACGCCCAGATCAAATCCCGAGTGCATTCCCTGTCCAGGGCCACCCCCCCTCCCTGCTGTGTCCCTGCTGGATACGACCCCATGGTGCTGATGCACTACGATGGCGAGGGCAGGCTGGTCTCCAGCGTCTTCGAGGACATGCTGGTCACCAGTTGCCACTGTGCCTGATGGCATCGCCGGTGGCTCCAACTGGGATGTGTCGCTGCCCAGCTGAGGCCTCCTGGAAGCCCCAGCATCCCAAAATTCAGATTCTGTGGCATTAAGTGCCTCCAAGCCAGCCCCGACTCCACCAGCTCAGCCCCAAGAACCTCCAGCTCCAGCATCCCAAAATCCACACCCTGTGGCACCAAATGACTCCACACCAGACCTGGCTCCACCACTGAGCTCAGCCCCAGAACCTCCAACTTCAGCATCCCAAAATCCAGACCCTCTGGCACCAAGTGCCTTCACATCAGACCCATCTCCACTGTCCAGTTTAGCCCCAGATTCTCCAGTTCCACTCTGGGGCCTTCAGCTCCATTGTCCAACTCAGCCCCGGGTCTCTCCAGTTCTGGATTCCTCTCCACAACAACATATTCCCTCCTCTCTTTTCTTATTTAAATCCGTATTTTATTTATTAAATCCATAATTTGTTTTATTAATCCTTACTTCATTTTATCTTCCCACCTGAGATACCCCAAAGGGGCCGGGGTGGGTCTGTCCCAGGGTGTCCACATCCCACTCCATCCTTCCTTCTCCGCTCTTATTTATTTATAATTCTATAATTAGAAGTCTATAATAGAATAGACTTATTTATAGAACCCCTTTATTTATTTCTAACTTATTGTACTTTATAGCAAAGTGAGCTTTTTGGGGGGGGGAAACAAGGTGGGTTTTTTTGTCTATTTGTACTTTATATATTTCCATAAAACTGGAAGGATATAATAATGTCAATGAATAAAGTGATGGGAACAGGGATTCTGGCTGCTCCTCCTGCACAGCTGGCTGGGGGGGGGTCTTCTACCAGAGCCCCTCAGCTCCCTTGGGATCTGATTCCATATGGATTCACTGGTAAATCCTCGTGGCTTTCCAATGCCATGCTGCCAGCGTGTCAGTAATGTCTGGGCACTGCTCCAGAGACCTTTGAGTTGTTTATACCCTTGGGATGGGCGTCGGGCACAGCCTTGACCCCCGGGAGGGACGTCCAGCCAGGATGGGGCCCTCGCCCAATTTCCAGGTGCCTCCGGCCCTGGGACCCCGCGGGCACCAAGGGGTGGGGGGAACCCACCCCGGGGGTCTGGGGCACACAGTGTGTCCCCACCACGGCTGGATGGGGTGGCTGTGCTGGTCACAGCTCCTCTCTGTCCTGTCCCCTCTCCTGCTGGGATCTGGGGGGGTCCTGGGCTTCCCGGCCCCTCGGCAGCTGCCGGTGGGGACCTGGGCTTGAGGGATGTGGGATATGGGGACCCCCGCTCTGGGAATGGGGGTGTTGGGGGCCAGGGCTTGAAGGACACGAGCTATGGAGATGTCCACTCTGGGGACATGGACTTGAGGACCTTGGGACCACCACTTTGGGGACATGGGCTCTGGGAACCTGTCCTTGAGGGTATTGGTCCCTTGAGACCCCTGCCCTGGGCAGATGGACTCTGTGGACGTGTCCTTGGGGCTCTTGATCCCTTGGGATCTCCACTTTGGGGACAAAGGCCTTGGGGACCTGTCCTTGAGGGTTCTGGTTCCTTGGGACCCCCGCTTTGGGGAACACGTGCTTTGGGAGCTCCAGGAACCTTCCCCTGGGAAAAGCCCTGTGTCCCGCCCAGTGCTCCCTGCAGACCATGAGCTCCAGGGGCAATTAAAGATAATTAAACCATTTAATGGGCACGGTGAAGCCTCGCAGGGGCCAAGTGGGGGAGACAGATGAGGGGTGTCCTCCTGTCCCCCAGGCTGCCGTTCCCCTCAGGGTGCCCAACTCGGGGTCCCACCAGGAGGACCAAAAACGGGGATTTTTCGCTGCGTTCCCCAGAGTGTCACATTCAGCAGGAGGAGAACGGGGGGCCCGGATGTGCCCAACCGCCGGCACGGCCCCGAGCCACCGCTGCCCCCGGCGCTCCCCATCGGCCCCAAAAGGGGAAGAGGAACCCGAGGCCGTGGTCACCCCCGGGCCCTGCTCCTCCCCGGGGGCCCTGCATGTGTCCCGGAAGGCTCCGGCTGCCGGCGGATGCGGCGCGAGGCGTCCCCGCGGTCGGCGGCCACCGGCCCCGAGAGGAAGCGTCAGCTCGGCCCCTCGCTGAGCCCTGCGGTGGGAACTGGGGCCGTGGGGGGGAGAGCCTGGGGCTGGGGGGTGTTAAAACCACCCCCCACACACACACAGGGAGGCATTCCCACAGGAAATGTCGCGTGGGAACCACCCGTGGAGCCGTGGGGAGCGCCCGTCCCTGTCCCCTCTGGGGTGGGGGGACAGCAGGGAAAGAACGGCAGCAGGGGGGCAGAGGGT